TTCCACCACATTCTTCTCTTCCCCCTTTACCCTCCTTCTCTCTCCCCCAGTTTCCCTTTTTTCCCTCTTACCTCCTTCTCTCTCTCCCAACATTCTCCTCTCTTGCTCCCTTGCCTCCTTCTCTCTCCATATTCTTCTCTCTCTCTCCCAAAAATTCTTCTCTATATCCCTCTTACGTATTTAATTTTCTCTCTACTACCCCTCACATTCTCCTCTCTCTTCCCCCACATTCTTCTCTTCCTCCTTTACTTCCTTCTCTCTCCCCCCAGTTTTTCTTTTCTTCCCTCTTCCTCCTTCCCACTTTCTCCCAACAATCTCCTCTCTTCCTCCCTTGCCTCCTTCTCTCTCCATTTTCTTCTTTCTCTTCCCCCAACCACATCCGTCTCTCTCTCCCTCTCTCCCTTACCGTCTTCTTCTTTCTCCTCCTTACTTCCATCCTTCTTCCCCCACATTCTCCTTTCACTCTACCTCCTCTCTCTCTCCCCCCACATTCTCCTTTCACCTTACCTCCTTCTCTCTCCCCCCATTCCTCCTTTTTACCTTACCTCCGTCTCTCTCCCCCCACATTCGCCTTTCATCTTACCTCCTCTCTCTCCCCCCACATTCGCCTTTCACCTTACCTCCGTCTCTCTCCCCCCCACATTCTCCTTTCATCTTACCTCCGTCTCTCTCCCCCCACATTCGCCTTTCACATTACCTCCTTCTCTCTTCCCCCCTTTCATTCGTCCTTTCACATTACCTTCTTCTCTCTCCCCCCCCACATTCTCCTTTCATCTTACCTCCTTCTCTCTCCCCCCACAGTCACCTTTCCTTCTTCTTCCTGCCTTCCCTTCTCCTCTCCCCCCACATTCTCCTTTCACCTTACCTCCTTCTCTCTCTCTCCCCCACATTTGCCTTTCACTTTACCTCCTTCTGTCTCCCCAAAATTCTTCCCTTTTCCCCTTCCCTCCTCATTTTGCCACCCACATTCTTCTTTCTTTTCCCCTTTCTTCTTTTTCTCCCACTTCCCCCCCCCTTACCTCCCCCCCCACACATACATTCTTCTGTCTCTCCCCCTTACCTCCTTCTCTCTCCCCCCCCAGGGGCGGACTGACAACTCATGGGGCCCCCAGGCAATAGGGGATCATGGGGCCCCGTGTCCTTGCCCAAACTAAAAGAAAACTATGAAAAAGGTACCAGGGGCATCTCATGGGGCCCCTTACTGACCCAGGGCCCTCGGGCAGTGCCTGAGTTTCCAAATGGTCAGTCCGCCCCTGCTCCCCCCACATTCTCCTTTTACCTCACCTCCTTCTCTCTCCTCCCAAATTCTTCCCTTTTCCCCTTACATCTTTTTTTTTGCCCCCACATTCTTCTCTCTCTCTCCCCTTTCCTCTTTCTCTCCCACTTCCTCTGTACCCCCCCCCCCCCCCCACATTCTCCCTCCCTCCCCCTTACCTCCTTCCTTTTGCCTCCATATTCTCCCTTCACCTTGCCTCCTTCTCTCTCCTCCCAAATTCTTCTTTTTTCCCCTACCTTCTTTTCTCCCCCCCCCCCCATATTATTATCTCTCTCCTCTTACATCTTTCTCCCCCCCCCACATGCACACATTCTTTCCTCTCTCCCCACATTCTTCACTCTCCCCCCCTTTACCTCCCTCCCTCTCCCACCACTTACCTAATGCTCTACCCCGCATATTCTTCTGCCCACCCCCCACCTCCTTCTATATATAAAGGGGATAGGAGATGAGTCCATGTCAAGGATTTATAAGTCCAGGATTTCTCCCATCCCTCTCAGTCTGTGACATGCTGTAACATATTGGTCATCTGTGTTCACCGTTGGTTCCTTTCCGTTTGCGGAGTTCCTCCGCAGTTTTACACGCGCTGTCATCCATCATTACAGCTGGTCTTCCTATGCAGAAGCAGAATTATGGCCGGTGCTTAGGCATAGCGATGGCATCCATCAAACCTTGGGCCCAGGCTTTGTCGTTTATGCTGGATATGCCGCTGTCCAGCCAAACTCTGTTTATAGTGAGGTGCCACGCGTTTCGTGTTCCTGTGAGCGGAGCACTTGGCAAAAGCCAGATGGGAGCCAAAGCAGAAAGCCGAGACAAATGTACTCAGTTCTATCCTGGCAATGCCATAAAAATGACTTACTGCATAGACCGCGATCCATGCGCAATACCGCAAGCCAAATCTGCATTTAAGTGTCATTCGCTACTATGAGATGAATGGTCTACCAGAACAAATACCAACATAAAACAGAACTGCCGGCAGATGTGAACAATTCGTATCCATTTGTTCCACACAGTTACTCTGATGGAGCGATGTTCTGCAGATCTCTAGAGGGGTCGGCGATGCAATAATCTGCAGAATATATCACTATGGATCTCTCAGGAGGGGGATGGGATGAAGCAATTTTGTGCAGATCTCTAGAGATGTCAGTGATGGAATAATTTGCAAAATATATCAATATGTGTCTCTTGGGGGAGTGGCGCGATGTTCTGCAGATCTATCTATGATGCTCTTTTGGTAATTATAACCTCTTTCTCTCTCTCTTGCAGCTCCGAGCTAATAATGATCTGCCTTCCGCCAACCAGGCCTCCCTGAATGAGGAGAAGGGTAAGTACGCCTTGTATCTCACCCTCCGCCATTGGGGCACCCCACCGGTAGACACCTACTGTAATCATGGAAGCCGTTAACACATATATTTCCAATTTGAAGCTTTCAGGCCATTAGTCAGCAGGCAGAGAACAAACCAGAACTAGGCTTAAATGTACGGGAGAGAGGTGGAGAGCAGAGGTGAGTGTCGCCAATTCAGTTCTGCATCTCTCTAGGTGTCCCTCTGATAGTCTCACATTTCACGCTTTTGTGTTTGGGAAGTGCTTAGGTAGCACGTGGTATTGAGTGCTGTTTCCCATGGCCATTCATATGGAGTTGCCCCCTTGGCCATTCATATAGAGTTGCCATCCTTCCTCCATAGCCATTAATATGGAGTTGCCCCCTTTCCCTAATGGCCATTAATATAGAGTAGCCCCCCCATTCCTCCATAGCCATTCATATAGAGTTGCCACCCTTCCTCCATAGCCATTAATATGGAGTTGTCCCCCTTCCCCCATGGTCATTCATATAGAGTTGCCCCCCTTTCCTCCTTTGCCATTAATATGGAGTTGCCCCCTTTCCCCAATGGCCATTAATATAGAGTTGCCCCCCCCCCATTATTCCTCCATAGCCATTTAATATGGAGTTGCCCCCTTTGCTCCATGGCCATTAATATGGAGTTTCCCCTCTGGCCATTAATGTAGAGTTGCCCATCTTCCTCCATGGCCATTAATATAGAGTTGCCCTCCTTCCCCATGACCATTAATATAGAGTTGCCCCCCTTCCTCCATATCTATTATTATGGAGTTGACCCCCTTGCTCCATGGCCATTCATATGGAGTTGCACCTCTTCTTCCATGGCCATTAATATGGACTTGCCCCCCTTCCTCCATGGTCGTTAATATGAAGTTTCCCCCTTTCCCCCATGGCCATTACCCCCCCCCCCCATGATCCATAGCCATCAATATGGAGTTTTTCCCCTTGTTCCATGGCCATCAATATGGAGTTGCCCCCCTTCCTCCATGGCCATTAATGTAGAGTTGCCCCTCTTCCTCCATAGCCATTATTATGGAGTTACCCTCCTTCCTCCATTGTCATTAATATGGAGTTGCCCCCCTTCCCCTATGGCCATTAATACAGAGTCCCCCCCCCCCTCCATAGCTATTAATATGGAGTTGCCCCCTTCCTCCATAGCCATTAATATTGAGTTGCCCCCCTTGCTCCGAGCTCCATGACCATTAATATGGAGTTGTCCCCCTTCCCCAATGGCCATTAATATAGAGTTGCCCCTCTTCCTCCAAAGCGATTATTATGGAGTTGCCCCCCTTGCTCAATAGTCTTTAATATGGAGTTGTCCCCCTTGCTCCATGGCCATCAATATGGAGTTGCCCCTCTTCCCCCATGGCCATTAATATGGAGTTGACCCCCTTCCACCATGGCCATTAATATGTAGTTGCCCCCCTATCTCCATGGCCATCAATACGGAGTTGCCCCTCTTCCCCCATGGCCATTAATATAGAGTTGCCCCCCTTCCACCATCGACATTAATATAGAGTTACCCCCCTTCTTCCATAGCCAATTGATATGGAGTTGCTCCCCTTGCTCCATGGCCATTAATATGGAGTTGTCCCTGCACCCATGACCATAAATATAGAGTCCCCCCCCTTAATTATAATGGAATTGACCTGCCTCCCCAATGGCCATTACCATGTAGTTGTTTCTCTTCCCCATGGCCATTATTATGGAGTTACCTCCTTTATTTATCATTAATATGGAGTTGCCCCCCATGACCATTAATATGGAGTTGCAAATCCATGGCCATTATTATGGAGTTGCCTCCTTTCCGTCATGGACATGTTAACAGGTGGGAGATCAATCTGCCACTGCTCAAGGAACTCATTTGAATTAATTCTAGGGTTCTAGAGAACCCTAGTTGAGAACGGTTGATAAAGAGGGTTCCAAATAACTTATTACACCTGGTTTGAGGGACCCAGATTTTCCAATATGGACATCTGTTCTGGTGACAACTCTATGGATTCTCTAAGAGTGGATTTCCCCAACTTTGAAGGGTCTGTGAAGATTCTCAGTTCTCAGGTCATGGTATATCTAGTAGTAGTTAATCACATTCAACTATAGAAGTGACTTGGAGAAGATACCAGATGTCTTCAACATTACAGAACAAGTCAAGTTGAATGTAACTAACTACTGCTAGCGATACCTAATTCCCTCTTTCCCAGCAGGACTGGAATTGAAAAAGAGAAGGTAAGTGAAAAGGAGTCTTTTTAGGTGAATATAGGAGGAGTTTTGGGGATGATTTGGAAGGATAGGAAAGTTTTTCAGGTGACCATCTCTGGACATAGCTAATAAGGTTTTACGGGTACTTTCTCCTTCCTCATAGGTCCTTTAAGGTCAATCTTGGCTTTTTCTTCTGCAGACAAACCTGGGAAGTCGGAGACGGTGGAAGAGGAAATTGATATCGACCTCAACGCCCCAGAGACAGAAAAGGCAGCCCTGGCCATCCAGAACAAGTTTCGCCGCTTCCAGAAAAAGAAACCAAACCCAAGCTCGTGAGGAGGACGGCTCCATCCTTGACCTCAACACTGCCCTGTACGACATACACTGTGCGCAGGCTCGCCTACTTCTTCCACTTTCTTTTCTATGAAGGGCAAGCCAAGTAACAACAGGGCTCAGCTCCCCTCCCCTTCCCCCACACTTCTCCCTCCCCTGTCCCATTAAATTATTATGAATGCTGATCTTTTAAACTGAGCCCGTGCCCCCCAACAGGTTGACCACAGTTCGGCCATCTTGTATTTGCTCCTTGCTCCGAGTGTAGCTGGAGGGATCGATGGAGGAAAGAAGAGTTTTCTATGAAATAGGCTGAATAGTGAGGTCTTATCTTGTATGAAGGACCACAGTGGTCCCCTTTCTTCTTAAGGCATGTTCTTATATAGCATATATTATATTTAAATATTTATTATATAGAATTGAATGAATATAGACCATCTTGGTGGCCATCTTCTTTTCACCCATAATTGCCTTATTCCACCTCGTTCCAACATCATGCAAATTAGAGCCTCCCCTCTGACCCCATCCACCCATTTGCTCCACCCCTGAGGAGATGTAAACTTGGTTGCCCCACCAAAAATGATAACTTGAGAGATTCTGGGCTCATGTGTTGGAATTGTCCCTCATGTAATATCTTTTGATGAGTCTGAATACATTTTGCACAAAAGGGTCAGTTTGCAAAGCTATAAGGCATGCGTTATTTGTCATAACTGTACGTCTTCACAGCATATGCATGCGTTATAGCTTTGTGAATAGGTACCTTTATGTGGTACAAATGGCTGACGTTCTCTTTCATAGAAACAGGTTGGCCTGACTCAGGTGAGAGTCAGACCTAGGCTGTTCATTTTTGGTCTCTGTTTAAAACTTGTATATCCCTCAAACAGTGCTGGGACAAGGTACTTTAGCAGCCAAAGTGGTAGGGCCAAAGTGCATCCTTCCCATCTCCCCCATGGACTGTGAACTACTCCAGCTGCATAGGTTGCAGGACCTGCCTTTTTTGCACCCCCCCCCCCTGCTGAAGTGCCCAAATTGGCCGCCCCTCTTGCCCACACCTTGGCTCAGCCCTGCCACTTAAAGTCTCCACCTTCTGAAGAGCCCATGGCAGATGCCCCTCCTGCCAACCCTTTGGCCCTGCCCCTTAAAGTCCCCACCTGCAGAAGAGCCCAAAGCAGCTGCCTCTCCTGCCAACCCCTTGACCCAATCCAGCCCTTAGGTCCCCACCTTCTGAAGAGCCCAAAGCAGCCGCCCCTCCTGCCAATCCCTTGGCCCAGCCCTGCCCCTTAAAGTCCCCACCTTCTGAAGAACGCATGGCAGCCACCTCTCCTGCCAACCCCTTGACCCAATCCCGCCCTTAGGTCCCCACCTTCTGAAGAGCCCAAAGCAGCCGCCCCTCCTGCCAATCCCTTGGCCCAGCCCTGCCCTTAAAGTCCCCACCTTCTGAAGAACCCAAAGCAGCTGCCCCGCCTGCCAATCCCTTGACCCAGCCCTGCCCTTAAAGTCCCCACCTTCTGAAGAACCCAAGGCAGCTTCCCCTCCTGCCAACCCCTTGACCAACCCTGCCCTTAGGTCCCTACCTTCTGAAGAGCCCAAGGCAGCCACCCCTCCTGCCAACCAATTAGGCCAGACCTACCCTTAAAGTCTCTACCTTCTGAAGAGGCCAAGGTAGATGCCTCTTCTGCCAACCTCTTGACCCAGCCTTCCCTTCAAGTCCCCACCTTCTGAAAAGCCCAAGGTGTCTAGACGCCTGTGCTGCCATCCTCTTGACCCAGCTCTGTCTTTAAAGTTCCCACCTTCTGAAGATCCAGGTTGCAGGTCCTGCCTTTTTTTGCATCCCCCTCTCCTGCTGAAGTGTCCAAAGTGGTCGCCCTTCTTGCTCACTTCTTGGCCTAACCCTGCCACTTAAAGTCCCCATCTTTCGAAGAGCCCATGACAGCCGCCCCTCCTGTCAACCCCTTGACTCAGCCCTGCCCTTAGATCCCCACCTTCTGAAGAGCCCAAATTGGGCACCCCTCCTGTCCACCCCTTGTCCCAGCCCTGTCCTTAGGTCTCCACCTTCTGAAGTGCCCAAGGCGGCCACCCTTGCTGCCCACCCCTTGACCCAGCCCTGCCACTTAAAGTCCCCATCTTTCGAAGAGCCCATGACAGCCGCCCCTCCTGTCAACCCCTTGACTCAGCCCTGCCCTTAGGTCCCCACCTTCTGAAGAGCCCAAATTGGGCACCCCTCCCTGTCCACCCCTTGTCCCAGCCCTGTCCTTAGGTCTCCACCTTCTGAAGTGCCCAAGGCGGCCACCCTTGCTGCCCACCCCTTGACCCAGCCCTGCCACTTAAAGTCTCCACCTCCTGAAGAGCCCATGGCGGCCGCCCCTCCTGCCAACCCCTTGACCCAACCCTGACCTTAAGTCCCCACCTTCTGAAGAGCTCAAGGCAACCGACCCTCCTGCCAACCCTCTAACCCTCTCCTGCTTGCTCACTTCTTGGCCCAGCCCTGCCACTTAAAGTCCCCACCTTCTGAAGAACCCATGCAGCTGCCCCTTCTGCCAACCCCTTGACTCAGCCCTGCCCTTAGGTCTCCACCTTCTGAAGAGCCCAAGGCGACTGCCCAACCCTTGACCCAGCTCTGTCCTTAGGTCTCCACCCTCTGAAGTGCCCAAGGCGGCCACCCCCTCCTGCCCACCCCTTGACCCAGCCCTGTCCTTAGGTCTCCACCCTCTGAAGTGCCCAAGGCGGCCGCCCCCTCCTGCCCACCCCTTGACCCAGCCCTGTCCTTAGGTCTCCATCCTCTGAAGTGCCCAAGGTGGCCGCCCCTCCTGCCCACCCCTTGACCCAGCCCTGTAATTAGGTCCACACCTTCTGAAGAGCCCAAGGCGACTGCGCAACCCTTGACCCAGCCCTGTCCTTAGGTCCCCACCTTCTGAAGAGCCCAAGGCGACTGCCCAACCCTTGACCCAGCCCTGCCCTTAAAGCCCCCACCTTCTGGAGAGCTTAAGGCAGACGCCTCTTCTGCCAGCCTCTTGGACTGACCCTTAAAGTCACCTCTTGCCTGATGCAAACTTTTTGCTCCTCCCCTGCTTAACATCTCTTGGGCTATTCCCAGCAGTAACTGAACGGGATAGGGGAACTCCATTTAAAACAAATCTCCTAAAAATAAGAATTTAAATTTTTTTTTCAGCTGCCAGTTTCTCTGGAAAGAAGCCACTTTGCAATAAGCCATTTTCTGGGGGGAAGTTTATTGGCAAATGTAAATGACTTTATTCAAACCGATTGGTGAATATTTCTGAAAGTGAAAGGTCCTCTTTAAACATTTTTTAGATTGATCGCCGTATTGCCTCTTTCCTTTTTTTTTTTTTTTTTGCTGACCTGCCTCGGAGAGACTAAGAAGTGATGTCATTCTTGATGATGTTACCCGGCTGTGTTAAAAATGCAAATTTACCCCAATTTTTTTTTTTTCTTTAAAAATAATTTAGATGTGGAGTGTGAAGGGCCAGAACCATTGCCAGGTTCATACTGCTTTCTGTGTCCCCATTGGAGGGGGTTTCTCCCAACTTCCTGGTATTTCTGTCTGGGAAGATGAAAATTGCCCGAGTAAGGGGTGTGTCCCCATTAGGGGGGGGGGGGGTTTTCTCCCAACTTCCTGGTATTTCTGTCTGGGAAGATGAGAGAAATTGCCCGAGTAAGGGGTGTGTCCCCATTGGGGGGGGGGTGTTTCTTCTTCCAACTTCCTGGTATTTCTGTCTGGGAAGATGAGAGAAATTGCCCAAGTAAGGGGTTGTCCCCATTGGGGGGGGGGGGGGGTTCTCCCAACTTCCTGGTATTTCTGTCTGGGAAGATGAGAGAAATTGCCCGAGTAAGGACAGCTTTTGAAACCCAACAAAACTTGTAACCCTTCCCCACCTTACATTTTAAAAGTTTGGCTAGAGTTAGTTTGGCTAGTATGGAGATAGGCACCATTGGACCAGCCTGCTGTCAAGCAATGCTGCTCTGCTGCCACCTAATGGTCGGTCATAGGAATTGCAATTTTGTGATTTGTTTTTTTATTTTTTTTTTATTATTATTATTATTTCTTTCTTTTTTCTAGTTTTAGTTCATGCTGTCATGTCAGTTCTGCTGCCAACATATGGCATTTTTAGTCTGCTTATAAAACTCAATGGACCACACCAGAAAAAGAAATACATAGACATACCTAATGAAATCATTTTGATATAAACAGTTTTTGTTAATTTACTGCTTTGATGCTGAGCCTTCTCCTATTAAAAAAAAAGAAAGAAAGACATCTTCGGGTGTTTTAACAAGGCCAAAACAGCGTTCACTGAACGAGCCTATCACAGCCATTTAGAAGTCACTTTTCAATGATTTGACTACAACTGAATTCTGATTGGCTGCTGTGGGTGGCTCTAAACAAAGGATACAGCAGTGTGTGATCTTCTCCTGTAGATTAGAGTCTTATATATCTGTACATTCCATCTGTACTTCTGACACCGTACCATTCATCGGATACACCTCTCCACCCCTGTGATGGTCTCTGGGAACTAATACCCTCTTGGGGGATGTTAGCATGTTTACTTAATAAAATTATTTAAAGTATACAGCAATGTCTTGGTGTCTGTACTAAGAAATGATTTACTATTTCTAAATTTCCTCTCCTGAAATACTCTGCGCTGCTGGAGGACTCCGCTCCTTCCTCTATAACTCTCCTCTCCTGAAATACTCTGCGTGCTGGAGGACTCTGCTCCTTCCTCTATAACTCCTCTCCTGAAATACTCTGCGCTGCTGGAGGACTCCGCTCCTTCCTCTATAACTCCTCTCCTGAAATACTCTGCGCTGCTGGAGGACTCCGCTCCTTCCTCTATAACTCCTCTCCTGAAATACTCTGCGCTGCTGGAGGACTCCGCTCCTTCCTCTATAACTCTCCTCTCCTGAAATACTCTGCGCTGCTGGAGGACTCCGCTCCTTCCTCTATAACTCCTCTCCTGAAATACTCTGCACTGCTGGAGGACTCCGCTCCTTCC